AAAAAGCGAGAGTTACTTGACAATATAACGCTGCGTAAAATTAAGGAAACGCTAGGAACTCTAAAACAGCAATACAAGGAATTAAGCGAGAAACTGAAAAATATGGATTACAAGGAGATGATGAAGAAATGGGACCAACTAGAGGACGACAAGCAAGTATTGCTTCGGCAAGTAAGTAACAATAATTTATTTTTGACATTTATACATTTTTATTGATTAATGATTTGCTCGATCGCGTTTTTAGAGAAATGTAGCGATGGGACAGCAGGAAGAGTTGGAGAGAGTACTCAAGCAGTGCACGCAAGAATTACGGAAAGAGGAGTATCGATTAGCCCGCCGGAATTACACTAACAAGTGTATTGAATTAACGGTAAAGTATCATATATGCGAAATATAATTTTGCGATGTTTTATGGCTGTTTGTTAAAAATGCTAATTGTGACTTTGAGTATCAAACCGAACTTGCACGATTCTTTTCGCTAGGTTCAAGAAGACGCTATAAAAAATTTGCAAGCTTACAACAAAATATTGGATGTCGCAATGATCGAGTACCACGAGGAACGTATGGCGACGGTCAACAAAATAATGAAAAAGCTGTGGAAACATGTTTATAAGGGTACAGATACAACCAGTATAGAGATCTGCACGGAACCTACGAATATGAATACCACCAAAAGAAGCTACAACTACAAATTGATGCAAACTAAGCACGGCTGTAAAATGGATATGAGAGGACGTTGCAGTGCTGGACAAAAGGTAATAATTATTGTGCATGCGATTGCAATTTGGGCGGGTTGCCACGATACCGATTTCAATTATTTCGTAAACGAATTGTATTGATTTTTAAAAAATTCGAAGTTTGGCTTTCGAGTTAGAGGGACGTTCTTTCGTAATAAAGTCTATCGATCTCATCTTAATCCTTTGTGATTTATTGGAGCGCATGTGACGTGTTGTGCCTTGCGCGAGTGACGTGGTCAGCGACTGCGACGCGGGAGGCGTGACAATATTAACGTCCGAATTTTTCACAGGTATTGGCATCGATAATCATAAGACTCGCCTTGGCAGAAACGTTCTGCAAGAACTGCGGAATTCTCGCGTTGGACGAACCAACGACAAATCTGGATGAAGAAAACGCAAATAGCCTAGCGGATATGCTAACCAAGTACGCATGCATTTTTGTTTCAACCGTTTAAAATAATCGAACAACTCTAAATGACATACAACGTAACGAATAATATGTGTTGCAGAGTGGTTGAGTTACGATCGAGACATCAAAAGAATTTCCAGCTGATTATAATCAGCCACGATGAAAAGTTCCTGCAGAAACTGGCCAATTTGAATAATAACAAGAAATTCCACGAGCTTTACCGTAAACACAAGTATGTATACTTATAAGAACGTATGTTTTTTTTTATTGCTAGAAGTAAAGAACTGGACTCTTTTCGTAGCGGAATGACCTCAGTAAAGCTGTCTACCTTCAACGACCCTACGAGTTCTCTGTTACATGTGAAGAGTGAGGATGAATCTGAGGAAGAAGAAGAGCGATTGAATCAATTTGGCGCGTCGACCAGCGGTTTATCTAGAGGTACAGCTAAAAGATACAATAACCTAAGTGATGAAGATAACAGGCCACCAGCTAAAAAGAAGTATTGTTTCACCGAGTAATATACGATAAGCATTTTTTGCCTCGAAATAGATATTTCTGTATACATATATGCATTCTATTATATTTTTTTGAATATCATATTTCCAATTTTATAATGTTTCCACAATTGATATAGTAGATATATTCATAACATGTTATTGCGCGTCTATTCTTATGAAAGAAATATTATATATGTAAAAAGTATATTGAAATACCTCAAGTAATCAGATAAGAATAGGAATTTCGTTTTTGCATCGAAATAGGTATTTCTGTACACATATATGCATTCTATTATATTTTTTAAATATATATAATTTTTTTGGATAATGTTTCTACTATTGATATATGTAGTAGATATTTATTCATAACATGTTATTGCGCGTCCATTCCTATGAAAGAAATATTATACATGTAAAAAATGTATTGAAATACCTCAAGTAGTAAGATAAGAATAAGAAAATTAATTTATAATCATCCTGAAGGAAATGTAATTTTGGTTATTGAGATATTGAATTAAACATTGTGTTCGTATTTTATTTTTAAATATTGGTCTTGTAAATTAATGTTAATCGCACAAAATATTTAAATATAGTCACAGTTATATGACTTATTCAGAACATGTCGAGCAGATTAATACAATGAGTCGAGACAAAATTAATTGGCATGTTCGACAAGTGATTCCACTTTTGTATCTGACGGCAACGAAATTCGATGTTCCCTCGTCGCGCTCCACGAATCTTTAAAAGAAAAGCCGCTTTTTAAAACAAGTTTTCCCAATTAACAGGTTCATCGCAAACGTAACATTTTATATTCACACCGATCGAAAGATACCGTTGAGGACCGGCGCTAGCTTCAACAAGATGTTTTATACAATTATCTATTTTTACACCAAATTGCCGTCGCGTGAATGTAAATAACACTGCTGGTGCTTTGGAATTAGGGTGTCTCGAAGGGGGTCGGCGCTAAAAAGCCCTGGGTTTCCAACTTGGGACCGCCAATTGGAGCGGGAGAATCGGTCGAACGTGTAACGAGAATCAATCGGGAAGTCGGCCGCGGGCGGGCTGGGTACTCCGGTATTGTCTCTCTCTCCGGCGAGAGTCTGGATGACCGCTATAGTTAACGAGTTATCGCGAATCGAGTGCCTGGGGGAGGGAGCCGGCATCGTAATAGGCTGCTGCCGCTGCTGCTGCTCGGGTAGTCGTAACGTCATAATAGAATAGCGATGTTAGTAATACCATCGCGCAATACCGCCGCTTTAAGGGCTTTAAAGGCATCCCTTCCAATTGCTCAGTCTCGGACCGAGACTGCGCGTTGCATCGCGCGATGCGTTTGGCGCGTTTTACCGTTGCGAGTCACGCTGGATATCTTCCCGAAATCGCCTGCGAGGGAGGATCGTTCCGGCTCGTCTCGCGCGCGTAGGTGCGCGCAGTTTTCCGCGTCGTCGCTTCGTCGTCCGATCGAACGTAAGGGAAACGCCGGTTCTAGTCGCGGGGCCAGGCAACCGCGTCAAAGGCTGCTTCGAGAGATATCCGGGTGCGGCAGATGAGAACCGTTGAATTCGCGTAGCGCGACAGAAGACCGGGGAAGGCGACATGTCCAAGGTACGGCGATTGGCGCTTCGCGGCGTCCGCAACTTCGGCGACGACACCGAGGACGTGACAATACGCTTCTACTGCCCGTTGACGCTCATCCTCTGCCCGAACGGCACGGGGAAGGCTACCATCATCGAGGCGCTCAAGTATGCGACCACCGGGCAATTCCCACCGAGCTGGAAATCTGTCGAGGACTTCATACACGATCCCATGCTGGCGACAACCGGCTCGGTATGATTCTACTTGTTCGTCGCACACCCTTTCCGTATTTGCGTATGTACGTACGTGCAAGATCTCGCGTTTATTGCGCGGTAGCTCGTACAAGATCGGCGAGAGATACACGCCGAGGCGACTACTCGATAAACGCGAGATCTTGCATACGTATATACGTATATATTTATATCTCGTTTGGTTGCGTTATACCTGCGATATCTGGATATCTCTAGAGTTCCTCTAATTGAAGTCCGGCGGCTTGCAGTCGATGACTTGATCCCGTTTCCAGCAAGTTCTGAAAGAGAGAGAGAGTGAAAAAGAAAGGAAGGAGAAAGAAAAAGATAGAAATAGCAAATGTATAACTTTCTCTCTTGCAAAATTACTGGCTAAACTTGTAGAAACTCTATGGTCCATATTCCGAATCCTTTTTTATTGTTAAAAGTGCCACTAACATTGGTTTTGAAGGATTTTCACTGGCTGAAAGGATCTTTTACGGGTGCTTTTGTCGACAAAAGGGGATGCAGAATGTGGGCCTAAATATCTCTGTCAAATGATGTAATGGTTTTAAACATGCTCACGATGTTAGATAATAATCATAAATGGATTTGTCAGAGGAATTTAGATTGGAACGCTACAGCTTTTCTACGGCAAAACTGGAATACTCGTTAACTGTTCAGTTGTCTGACTCGTGTAGGCCTTCTGTCGTTTGAACTCTTTACTTTTGCGATCTTGAGTTTTCCTCAGTTATTATTTAAACTGTCCCAGGAGTGTTAAGAATGAAGACAGATTTGTTGTCGTAGACGAGAGCCGTGGTCAAGGCTGAGATAGTCGATTCCGTGGGTAAAACTTACACGGTAGCAAGAACAGCC